CATCATGGAATTTGTGGATAAAATGAACTAGTACATAGTCAAACCTTAAAAAATGTTTAACTTTGCTGCCATCTAGTGGCAGTTATTTCATGCATGCTGTCTTTTTAAACTTTCCCAAGCCTACTTCCAAAGTAGATGCAGAATAAAAGGAAAAGGTGGGTGGTTCTTTGTATATAATTTTTCTGTACCTTCCAAAGACTTGTACATCCCGTGTGGGTGCTCTGCATACATTGTGAGAGCAAAACATTTGTCAGCTACTTAGTGCATCTGAATTCTGTGAGAAAATGCCAATAGGGTTATTTATTTAGATGGACATTGGGGAGTTGGGTGCTGTATAGGAAAATTGATGACAGATATCCTTAAAGTATCTTTTTTTATAAGTTTAATTGTATTATCTGTACTTAGGATGATATTAGAACAGCATCTTCCTTGTATGGCATCCAGTTCATTAGACAATTAATTTTAGACTAATTATAGACATTAAAATATGAAACAGTATTCCTTTTAACAACTTCACAAACTTTTATTTGGATATTTAGAACACTAGTGTTCTCCTTATACTTTAAAAGCATTTTCTTATTTTTGTCTCTGAAAACCTCTGAATCTACATATCCAAGCTCCAGTTAATTAAAGGTATTTTCTAATCCAATTTTAAGCCACAGTTCTTTTTAATTAGGTCACAATATGTACAGGTTACATATTTTAAATTATTGGATAATTTGACAAATATATTGTAGTATCATTTTAGTGCTGGATAACCTATTGACTATTAAGCTATGATAATTTTCAGTTGATATAAAATTGACAGTGTAAAATAATTCTAAAATTAAAAAATGATACATTTTGACATATTGTCAGGAACTGTAACAAGAGAAGGAAAATCTTTAAGATGTAACAATGGAAACCCAATCTGAAGGTGTGTGCTCTGTGAAATGAACATAATGTTGTAAGAAGTTGGCTTGTTATAGGAAGAAAAGCCTTAGATTCTTGTTTTCAGATAGAGCCAGCACTTACCTGTTGGCAGTCATAACTACCAGTCAGTGCTTAGCTCCATCCCCTTTCGCGACAGAGGTAGTGACCAGATGTTATTTACGTATAAAAACGGTTTCAAATTGTGTTTCTTAATTTAAAATAATAGTATATAGAAATATTATGCTATTTGAATTAAAAAACCATTAGCCTGTCCTCAAAAATATTTTTTAACTTCATTGTTAGAAGAGGTTGAGGAAGAGATTGAATTGGTGGACAAGCCTGTGGAATGGAATCCCAGTGAATTAAAGAGAGAAGAATTTAAACAATTTTTCAGTTATAACATTCTATATCAACAACTGTTCTGTAGCTCCAGGGAGAACCACTCTTACTGCCTGAATAAGAACATTATAAATAAGCACTTATGAATTTGGGATTAGAAGGCTAGGATCAAAGAAATTGTGGTTTTCTAAAGGAGATTTTACTCTGTTACGGAAGATCTGTGTTTGTCTCCTGTTTTTGCTCAAGTCTTCCCTGTTTTGAGTTATTACCACTCCTTGCTAAAATGTTGTCTGTTCATTATCTAAATCAGTACTGCCACCTTGTGATATTGTCCTTAATTTCATCTGGCCCAATCCTAATTCCTTCCATTGGGTGCTTCTTATCTCTAATTTACTGCTTTAGTTTTCCTCACATCTGCACACGATTTACATCCCTGTTTTGGTTAGAAGCTTTTCTAGAGTAGGACCTATGACACTTTGGTCCTTATCCCCATTAATGGTCCCTCCTCAATATTTGTTCAATGCATTTGGATGTTAGAGAAGTTAACATGACATCTGTCCATCACAAGACTAGACAATTAAATCACTGTCTACTAAAAAAGGAAGTAAAAATTAGCTTTTGTGGTTTGTTTCACATCCATAATTTTAGTGCCTGCTTTGGCCAAAGAGACTGAACATTTATTAGCTGAGGAATTAGAATGAAATATAATTTCCCCAATTTATTTTATTTGATCATTTAAAAAAAAACAACACCACGTTTCATCGTTTCTTTTTTATCTCTTTATTTTTGCAGCTTTTGTCATTCCTTCAGGGTTTATTTACTTTTTACCACGAGGGATATGAACTCGCCCAGGAATTTGCACCATATAAACAACAGCTGCAGTTCAACTTGCAGAATGTAAGACTATACCTGTTCCACTGCCTCTCCCCAGCGATGATCACAGTGCAACTAAGCTGTAACCTAGCCAAACCTTGGAGTCTTTCCAAAACTTATCCACGTACAGTAAAACTTCACTAATTTAGAAAAGCTACATTATAAATTTATTTGAAATGTTTTGGTTTTCTAGCTGCTGGTTGAAAGTACACCGGGAAAATCTTAATGTTAGAAAAAATGTATACTAGAAAATTTCATTAAAATAAATATTACTGAGGTGTAGACACCTGGAAATTTGGAAACTTTTGCCTTTTGTTCAGTGTTCTCGTTACTTCACTGGGTGACCTCAGGCTAGTTTTATTTTCTGAGAGGGCAGCACTTCCGTATTTATGAAACAAAGGTTATAGTTTAGCACTTTAAGCTACCATCCTTGTGTGAAATTGTTTATATTTGGTATTTATTATTTTTGAATAATAAATTTGAAAATGGTTTGAAATACTCAAAACTAACTGTTTTAAAGCTTAAGTGAGAATTATTTACAAACATCCTATCTATTTCTGTCAGGATTTTTTTTTTTTTGTAAAGTTACCTAATCGTTCTTTTTGATATTGATTCCATAGTTATACAAATTCTGATTTGCAGATGCTGAACACCACTTACGTTAAAAAACAAAAAAATAAAAAACTTAGCCCATCCATTTTTGCACTACCAAACCTGACAAATAATGCAGTTTTTATTGTTCAGGGTTTTGTATAATGAAAAGTTATTTCTGAAACCCTGTCTGTCTAGTACTCTATAGCCTAAATAATTTGGAAAACTCTCACTTAATTTTCGATGAAAAGCTTGGCTTTCACTACTTTTCTGATTTTTGCCATTGTGGAGATGTCCAATAAATAGAGCTATGGATTTGGAGTGTCCCATGAGAAAAATGTAATTGGATTTATTCTACTTGTGTTTTGAGTTTTAGTTTTTTATTTAACCTAGATTTTTCTAGCAGAATCAATTTCACGTGCAGTTCATTCCATTGTTTTTCAATATGGAATGCATTTGGGCTTTTTTCAGTAACTATTAAAAGGGAAAATTATAAAAGCCAAAGTATTTTTATGGTTTATTTTTATATTAAATGCAATTTTAATATGATTCCTGGGATTTGAGAACTGGTAAAGAGTAGGAAAAAATTCTGATCCTTACGTTGAAAAGAGATTGGTAGCAAAAGTGGCAATTAAGAAAATTCAGTTCTTTTATTATGAGCCATAACAAAATCTTAGAGTTCAATAATGATGATTTTTATGTTTCCAAATGTGTGTTGTTGAGACAATGTGGCTTGAATGCAAAGGAGGTTTTTGTAGAGAAAAGCCTTATACTTTTTTATGTCTTACCTCAAGTAACCTTGCTGTTATGTGAGCAGGCTATTTCTTGCAATAGAAGAAGTTAGAACCTGGGAACCTGTTCATTTTTATGAGTTAATTTATATACTGACCTCTTGATAACTATGCTAGGATTTCTGGAAACCAAGGTAAATAATGTTTCTTCAAAAGCATTTGATATAAGGATGATGAACTTTTTTCTTATGAGTGTCATGTATGTTAAAAGCATGTGAATTTAATTTGTTTTTTTATCCCCTAAAAAAAAATATAAATCACTACGTATCTGCTTTTTTACCTTAAGTGTTAGTGATTATAAAATTCTATTTAATAAACATTACATATTTTTAAATGCTATATTCAGCCCCTAAGTAATAATGTTAGAGTGGGAAATAGGAAGAAACACACAGAGATGTAAAGAGAGACCGCAGAAGGTCAGGTAAAAAAGTTTCACTAGAGCCATTCAAAATCAGCCGCAGGGACTCGACATAGAGGGTCGTGGATGTGGGTGAGTAATGCTGAAAGAATCAAGGTCATTCTTTGCACAATTTGCAGTGTTGAAACTTCAGGCTGGAGATTCCTCAAAACTGGTAGGAAGAAATGACTGAAATTGTTATTTCTGTTTACTTAAGACAAGGAATAATTTTGAAAGTACTCGACAAGAGGTAGAGCGGTTGATGCAAAGGATGAAATCTGCCAACCAAGATTACAGACCACCCAGCCAGTGGACGATGGAAGGCTATCTTTATGTCCAGGAGAAAAGTGAGTCACAAAGATATAACTTAATGTCTCTTAGGGTTGACATTCTGTTTCCACGAGATGTGACATAGTTAGTATTTTTTTTCAAGTAGGAAGACTGAAATCCCTTACAACTTTATCATATTTAGTCACCATCACCTCCAAAGTTAGGAAGATGTTTCACATTTCACCATCAAAATCTCTAAGTTGGGATATTGTTGAACTTGGAACTGATGACCTTTTACTGATAATACGGTAACATGAGTTCAGTTTTAGAATTTAATGGTGATATCTAACTCAATTTGAAATTTGATGGAAAATTGAAAATCAAAGCCTTTTATCAGGATGAATCATTCTGGTGACTATGATAATAGTTTTCCCCTCTAGCAGCATTATTTCATTGAATTCTGTGTTTTGTCAATTTTCAGGAGTAAATTAGGCAATTATGTAATGTCCAATTGGCACCTTTTACTTCCTGACGTTAGGAAATATGCATCCGACCCAATAGAACACTCTTACAATTTCCTCACGCTAAGAAAGTTTTTCTCACAAAAATTACTAAAAAGCTATTCCAACTTGTATAACTAGTGTCCTTTCTGCATGACATTTGTCATTAAGTGGAACCAGTCTGACTAAATTAACTCTCTATTTCAAACCGGATATGCCCTAAAAAACCATTCTCATATTCTTTGTGGTGAAGGGACAATTGTTTTTATTTTCAGTCCATCAGGGACCAATGTTTTTGTAAATACAAAAGCACGTACTTGGATTTTTCAGTAGTGTCGAATTGCTGTACAGGTTTTGAAATGCTTATTCCCACTTTCTGTACTTTCCGCATTTATTAGGTCTCACACACCACATGGAGTAGCACTGCTCTACCGTGTCCCTGTCAGTAGATAACTGTTTAACGAAGTTGTTTTGGCTAGTAAGATACTATAGTTAATGGGTTTGGGATGGGGCAGCTGGAGATAATCAGATTGGCTGTGAAGGTTTTTGACATAATGCAACACGACCACTAAAATGTCAGCCCATTTTACAGTTGACATATCCTGGTTATGCTCATTTATTTGTTGGTTGGTAGTATACCAGCAAATGATGGTCTGATCCAATAGACTAGGCAGACATGGATTACTGCATGGACTAGATGGTAGAGGGCTGCTGGCTCAGGAGACCTGCATTCTGGGATTTTTCTCTCTCATAACTCTCTACCTTGACCAGTCTGTTTTCAGATGTTAAAATGATAACGAATGTCCCTCCTGTGATGGCCCCTTAGCAGTACGTGGCGTTTGAGTTTCTCACAGCAAGACGCTCACGCTCTTGTTGGCATTCTCTTTTTTGATGTTGTTCTTGCTCCCAAGATATTTTCTGTCTCGGTTTTCTCTGTATCCGCCTGTGTTATTTTTACAGCTTTAGTAAGGTACAATTGACCTATATAGTAAGTTGCATGTGTTTAAAATGTACAATTTTATAAGTTTTGCTATATGTATGCTCCTGTGATACCATCACCACAGTCAATATAAGGAATGCATTCTTCACCCTCAGAAGTGCTCGGATGCCCCCAATATAATCCCTAGCTCTTCTCTTTTCCCAGTCACCATCCTCCTCCCTTCCCCTTACCTAGAGATTTGAAAAGAAAAGCGAATGGGTTTATATGTAGTGGGTTTATTTGCCTTTGGTGTTACTTCTGTATGAGGGACAAATATTCAAAGCTGCTTTCCACTTGTAACCTTTGAAAGCATTTATAATACAAAAATTTGACCAGTCCGTGAAAACATACCGCTTGTACTGTTGCTATTACTGAGTAAGTTTTGTGGGGAACAGAAAATGAGATGAATATGGCTTCAGGGTGTTTATTCTGTAGTGGAAGGCATAAGACAGACTCCCACTGTTAGCAACCAGTGATCAATAGTAAACATCAGAGCTGTAAATTGCGTGAGAAGTGGAGATAAATGTGGCGGGGCAGTAGCAGGTCAGTGCAGTTTGGACCGAGAGCTCCACTTTATCTAGAGATGAGGTTTTTATGTTACCTGCCTCTAGGCATATGTTAAATCGCATTCTAATAGACTTCATTTGAACCAGGAAGAGCATGGGTTCCAAAGTCAGAACTATGTTGGCATTTCATGCCCGCCACCTCTTAACGTGGTGATTCTGGTCCAACTACTTTCTGAGCTCAGTCTCCCCATTTATATCATTAAAGAAGGATATTTATATGTATGTCGGAATGTGTTGCAAGAATTAGAGATAATGTCTGTAAACTGTCTCTATTATGCATACTGGTACATAATAATACTACAGTGCTTACCATGAGCCCTTACTACTCTGTGCATTTACATTTACCTCATTTAATTCTTAAAACCCTTAAGAAATATTATTTCTTTAAAAAGAA